TATAAAAAGGAGTAAAAATGGTTATTGAGAATGATTTTGATGAATTATACAATCTCTTTAACACTCGCTTTCAAATTATCAAAGTTTTTGAAAATAATCAATGTGAAATTACTCAAATAATGTAGAATACAATCAAATACAACAGTAAAGTTTGGAAACTGCAACATCTTTGTGCAAAGCAAAGCCATTATACTCGGGTTATCCTAAGTAAACAAGAACAAAATTTTGGTTAAAAAATTAGGAAGAATCGGCTAGACATCTTGACTACGCTCCACATCAACAACAATAGTAGCTAAAATCATCATCAATTACTTTTTTGCCTCAACTAACTTGGCCTAAAGACTGTGAGCACTTTCTCCGTGTAGTTTCATTACAAAATGTTAGAAAAAGAAGTCCTTTGAAATACATGTCATTGATTCAATAGCTACTTACTTTGCATGTATGTGGCACCGTCTAGAAAGAAGCAAATAGAAAAATATCGTCGCAGGCTACAAAAAATCTCAAGAATTACAAACTTTACTGTCATCATTTAATTCTTCTTAAAATTTTTGAAGATCAATAACAAGATCATCAAACTCATTAATATGATATTAAATTTTTGTATCAAAATCTTTAATCTTAAAATTCATGAGTTTCAAGAAAGCATAAAAAATTGTTTAAAAACTCTTTGCAATGAAAACATTGTTCTAGAGCTTCAAACAACAGAATTCATAATTTGTACTCATCCACTTGTTTTAGACCAAAGATTGTAAATGCAATATGACAATATCGACATACTATTTTAAAGATCTTTTGCGTCTTTGTTGTTGTAGATGGATGACATTGACCTTAACATCTTGTCTAGATCCATGACCTTAAGCTTGACCTTGACTCTTTTTTTTAAAGCAAAAATTCATTATGTTTGTTGTATTTGACTTTTTCATATACTACTAATTCTGACTTAGTGGTCGTCATCTTTAGTTCTCAAACACTTGAAGTTCTTCCTTGTACTGTTGGAATGAAAAATTCTTTTTTTAACTCATTTATTTTGTTTTGGACTATGGTTCAATGTGTAGCATCAATTTCATCCACTAGTCTTCAAGTTGTTTTGCCACTATTGTACTTATAAATCTTTTTGTAGCATGTAGTCTCAATTCGTTTGATGATCAAACAATGCAAAGGTGAGAGATATTGCACAATGATGAAATCAACAACAATATTGCTATTGTTAAAATTGCATCAATGGAAAAAATTTAACATAAAACAAGACTAGCTAATGACTTCACACTCAACAAAGTAGAAACTTATCAAAGATTGCACATAATAATCATCATGCTCATTATCTAATCAGATGACACAATCATTTCAAAGTTGTGTCTGATGATGTAACACTAGGGTTTAGAAAGAAGTTCAATCTAGAATAAAAACATGAACTCTGAAAATGAAATATTCTTAAAATGATTTTATTTTCCTTTATATAGATTGAACTAACGAATACAATAAGATAAGATCTCATCTCATTGTATGGTGAAGATAAGATCTCATTTCCATCATCTGTTTCACTCCTAGTGGATGGAAAATCCTAACAAGCACACATTTTGCTGACGTGTTGCTCAACTAACACACTTAATTTTTGCGTAACAAGTAGATCAATTGATGAGTGGCATAGTCAAGTAGCACATTTATACTCTATCTATTAAAAGCACATATCGAAGACAAGACAATTATGAATAATGCACTCTAAATAAGTATAAATTCATCTCAAGTAACATTTATTTAAATCCAACTAACTAAAGATGGTTATAACTACATCTGCATTGTCCTCATTGTACGTCTTTGCCCTCTCCACTCCTTAGAGATCTTTTGTAGTTGCGTGCTGCTCAAGGACAAAGAATCAAACACTAGGTTTCCATCAAACGTTAGTGCAAATCTTTCTTTACATACTCGTCCAAATCAAACTTTTCATTCATAGTTAAGTACATTAAAACATGAATTCAAGACTTCACAAAAAGATGATTGATTTGGGTGGAGAGGAAGCTCCCAAGCTTAAGGAGCTTTTGGCAAATTTCAAGAATTTCTTTGTTTATGCAAAAGCCATAAGTCACAATAGATTAAACTCACGGCAAGCTTATTTTCTCTAATAACATTTGATAGAAATAATTCACAAGAACATCATCCAACAACAAAACTCACACCACAACAAATTTTACGCTAGTAGATCATTGGTTTCGCCTCTAGCTACATCCAATTAGATTTTGTTTAAAAAACATGTTACAATAGTCAGTGGTCAAACTAGATCTCACAACACTTTTTCAAGTCCAAGTAGACTAGATACAAATCCTCATCCAGATTTTTCAAAAAAACACCTGACAATTGATTAGATTCATTTTGAACTGTAACTAAGTCAATATTTGATCCAATTTTTGATTCACAAACTCAAAAGTTTATGAATGGTGTAAATGTCTACAACAACAAAAAATTATTTTACAATATATCCAAGTTTGAAAAAAAGTAAGTGAATATGAAGATTTATAGTAGATTTAAGCAACTTGAAAATTGGATAGTTTATGCAAAAGCACTGACATTTTAAAAATGATATAGTTTAATTAGTCAAACGAACACTCCAGTTAATATATAGATTGCACTAAATCCGAATAATTTCTCTCAGATTTGCTTCCGTGCATAATTATTCATCATTCATCCAGGTTCCATATAAATTTCTAGAAGAAATCGAACCTTTAGGCACAATTTCACTGTAGTAGTACTTTTCCCCCACTGAAAAATGAACAAACCATCTCCAACATATTTCAAACTCACGGGCCTTATTTAGTCACCCATAGCCTTTTTCCCAGGTACCAAAAGTATCGTAGTAGCAATTCCAGTTTAGTTGAAAAGGATCCAACGTTATAACTAAATGTGAGGAGCACAACTCTTGCCACAATTTAGTTTGGGGCGAGAGCTCCCTCCCCAAACTAATAGAAAATCCCCCTGATTTTCTATTAGATCCGGATATGAAGTTTTATTTTTAGGTACAAGGACGAAAAATGTATGGTGTTCAATGATTAGTTTCACTCCATAACATACAAATGCATGAGCTAGTGCACATACTGTACATCCATTCAACTTCATGGACTACATGACCGTAGGTCTGGACTCTAAAGTCTCATGTCCTTGTCTCTCTCTCATCGAGGATTACAACGCAGTTGGTGTGCATGGTCAGAATGTGCCTGCTGATTGGAAACCTGCCCCTAGTCTGCGGAAGGAGCCGGCATTTACACGACTTCCGATTCTTTCAAAATATCACAATTTTTGTTTGTTTTCGTTTTGGTGTTCTTCTTTTGTCCTCTGCCAGTTTCTTGGTTTTTTCTCAAAAAGTAGAAGCACGATATGGAGATTTTTTCAGGTCGGGGTTTTTTGTTTGTTATCGTTAGATTTTAATAGTTCAATGTCTAACGAATTAACGGATGGCTAATTTTGGTATCGACCAACATTGACCAGCCGTTAAGTAACTCACTTCAAAACTATATGAATGAAACACTGATCTCAAGAAAAAAATAAATTTACATTCGGTATAACGTCATAATAATTTTCAGAAAGCCCAGCCATGCTAAGATGAAGGCAGGAGATCATCAAATTCAAAAATACCGTGGAAGAGCGAGATAGTTGAAGAGCCAAAATTTAAACTACAAATAGAGATCCAATAAATACACTTGAAATACGGAGATGGGCACGGGTTTAGGGTTTTTAGCTTTAGCTAAACCCTAAGAGCTCCCTCGCTGAACTACACTTGCTCCCTCATCATAACACTGCATTTATTTTCTAAAATTTATTTTCTAAATAAATAAGTGTTCCCACAGTATTCAGCCATCTAAGCTTTGAGTGTTAGAATATGTAAGAGATTCTGAAATCCCACGAAGAAAATACCTTCCAGATATTTAATATCTATAAGGCAGGACACAACGAAATGAAACTGACCTCCGGACTTTGGCAATGAAAGGACAGTGGATTAAAAAAACAGCACAGAAGCCTACAAATTTTCAAACCTCGCCAACTATTCGAGAATAATGGCGAACTATCACAGGTTTGGGATGTGTACTTGAGCATCTGAAGTTTGTCATTCTCTGTTCTGCATAGCCTTCCAAAAGCAGCATCTGCAAGCAAGATGCATATGTATCTAGGATACAATTTGGGACCATGGGGACTGCTGTTGTAAACGAGTCTTCTATGAACTCGTATCGGAGAGCATGGGATGACTAGATATTTTCCACCTTTTTCAGTAAGCCATTTGTCCACGATGTACTTTTTCGTTCTTCACTCGAAAAACTTTCCTCTGTCAAGCGCACATTCGCGCTTTATGCAAACATTAAAGTGGTTCCATCTCACAAATGTTAAGCACAGTCCTCATTGTTCGCTCTCTTCCAAAAGGTGACCGACTGATTCAGTCGCCGTCAGCTGCAAATGGAGGCAGGCTCCTGCTGGATACGGCCGGGTACCGGTAAAGACGAGAAAGCTCCTGGAGGCGAGTCAGCAGCGGTCCTCCGATGGTGGACGACCAGCGGTGGAGCTCGTGCGGGAGCGGCAGGGGCAGCGGCTGACGGGCGACGGGCGACGTGTTGACGGCGATGAACCGGACGTCTCGAGCCTCTCTCTTGCCTCTGTAGCGCGCCAGGAAACGACGCCCCCTGCCCCTCTGAGGTCTGCCCCTGCCCCAGCCCCAGCCCAAAACAAGCCCCAGCGCTACGCTCCCCCTGCCCCTCTCCCCTGCCCCTGGCCCTAGTCCCAGCCCCAAGCCCAAGCCCAAGCAAAGCCCCAGCAGCTACGCTCCCCCTGCCTTTCCCCTGCCCCTGCCTTAGCCCTGCCCCTGCCCCGGCCCTCGAGGAATGTGCCGAAAAGCTTCCATCCATCCTGCGCGCTTGGAGAAGGAGCCGAAGATGCTGCGGTAGCGAGATCCGCCAACAGACAAGAATATCAAGCTAATAACGGACATGTGAGCCCGGAGAGAAATGGCAGACGCGGTCATGCGACGCTGGGCGGCAGCGCGTCGTCGGATCGGCATCGGACGAATCCGCAGCAGCTCGCTGCGACTTTCACCGTGAAAGTGAAATCGGCACGGCGAGGAAACTCCATGCCACCATTGACCAGGTGCTCGGTTCCTGCAGCAGCAGCAGCAGCTCATCTGCTCGCGACCCGGGGGCGAAATCACGGAGGGGAAGTGGAGATTTTGTAGGAGATAAGCGGCGGAGGGACGAAAAGAATGGCAGCATCAAGTGGGATCGAGCGTTGCCTGTGTGCGCGGTGGGCCCCGCGGAGCTGCTCTCTTTAACCTGCGCTTGCATCGTTTCTGTTTTCTGTATCTGTGGCTTTTGGTGGTACCTGGGGAGGCGGGCTCGCTATCGGTCCTGCGCGCTTCCGCTCAATATCCTCTCAGCGCATCGTGCAGATTTCATCACCGATCTGCCCTTCCCTCTCTCTCTCTCTCATCCCTCCCTTAAAGACCTGCTCTCGTGCGAGGAGCCCTGATCGTACTCGACACCAGGTTCAAGGCTCGTCGTCCTCTGCGCCGCTCGCCCGCTCGGAGAATTGGATTCTTCCATCACGAGCCCCTAGGGCGTCGTCTGAGCATAGCCTTGGAGTTCTCTGCTGCTGCTGCTGCTGCTGCGTTTGAGTCGCGGATTGTGGGAAGATGGCGGCGACGAGTGCCGTAGCAGCGGTGGTGGCCGGAGCTCTGGGCGCCGTGCCCCAGCGCACGGATCTTGCTGCTGCTGCTGCTGTTCCCAGTAGGGCGTGCTCCGTGTCGTCGTTGGCGAGCTTCCAATCGCTCAGCGTATCGTGCAAGACCGCGAGGTCGGCTCGTGCTGTGAGCAAGAAGGTTGGCGGCAGGCAGATTGTGTGCTCGGTCGCAGCGCCGTCCACCTCCCCGAGGTCGGCGTCCACCGAGATTGTCGGCAAGCCCACCGTCCTCGTCGCGGAGAAGCTCGGCGAGGCCGGTCTGGAGTTGCTGAAGAAGATTGCCAATGTCGACTGCTCTTACAATCTGTCGCAGGAGGAGCTCTGCGCGAAAATCTCACTCTGCGACGCTCTGATCGTCCGAAGTGGCACTAAGGTCACCCGCGAGGTTTTTGAAGCTAGCAACGGACGATTGAAGGTCGTCGGGCGTGCTGGTGTCGGAATCGACAATGTGGATCTTCAGGCCGCCACCGAAGTTGGATGTTTGGTCGTGAACGCCCCCACCGCCAACACCATCGCCGCTGCCGAGCACGGGATTGCTCTTCTCACTGCTCTGGCCCGTAATGTTGCTCAGGCCAGCGCCTCCATGAAGGCCGGTAAGTGCGCTGCTCAAACATTAATTTTTTTCCTGCTGCGAGGCTTTTCAAGATATAAAATGTTGTTTAGCACCATCCGAGGGTTTTATGACTTCGAATCTTCTCAGCTTTATGAATCGAAGAGTAACACCTCATAGTTGTAGTTCAATTGACGGCCAATTGTTGTAGCAGCGGGGTATCCAAGCAGGTGCTTCGTATATCTCTTTCTCGGAGACTTGAGGAGATCTTTACATCTCGAAGCTTTAGGGATGGGAGAAATTCAAAGATCTGTTACGATTTAAAAAAATTCAGAGTTGACTCTTCTTCGAAATTTAGTCCTCGGTGTCGACGTGTGGAGATGTTTTGGGTGTTTTTATCACTACATTTATCTCGTAAAGAGGCGACCTCTTAATCAAGCTTGCCATCTTGGTTTTCATTGCTGAGTTATTGCGTTTCTTGTGGATTGCCAGGCGAATGGAAGCGTAACAAGTATGTTGGAGTGTCTTTGGTCGACAAAACTCTTGCGGTGATGGGATTTGGAAAGGTCGGATCTGAAGTTGCCCGTAGAGCTAAGGGTCTGGGTATGCAAGTGATTGCACACGATCCATACGCCCCAGCTGACCGTGCTCGGGCCATCGGTGTGGAGCTTGTGTCTTTCGACGAGGCTCTCAAGCGGGCCGATTTTATTTCCCTCCACATGCCATTGACTCCCTCAACCGACAAGTGCTTCAATGACGAAAGCTTTGCCAAGTGCAAGAAAGGAGTTCGTATTGTCAACGTTGCCAGAGGTGGAGTTATTGACGAGGAGGCTTTGGTCCGTGCACTCGACAGTGGTATTGTGGCACAGGTAATGCACGTCAGCATGATCCACGACATCTCAAATCGATCGAATCAATAAATTTTTTGTTTTGCGGAGGTCTTGATTGAGTTAAAAAATCTGAATGGCTGAGTTGAATGTGACTTATTTCACATGAAGCCGTATCCCTTTTGGTACTCCCACAAAAGTCTGCCAAATCTCTCTTTTCATCTCTTTGGCAAAAGTTGTGTTTTAGCTTTTATTTGTCCTTGTACATTCTTGCACTCTGCAGGCTGCTCTGGACGTTTTTACCGTAGAGCCCCCTGCCAAGGACGACAAGTTGATCCAGCACGAGAATGTAGTTGTTACCCCTCACCTTGGTGCCAGTACCATGGAGGCGCAGGTGCGTTGCAGCTCCAGTTACCATCTTGAGCTTTGTGCCTTGAACAGAGTGACCGTTCTAGTTTGCAATTAGTGCTATTATTGGATTTAGTGTTGAAAGAAATGTTTCGCTTTCTTACCTACACTGTCTGAGGTTCACAGGAAGGAGTTGCAGTAGAGATTGCCGAAGCCGTCGTCGGGGCTCTACAAGGAGAGCTTGCGGCCACTGCCGTGAATGCACCCATGGTCCCTGCTGAGGTACAGTCCCTCTTTGCGATCTTACCTTCAAATACTTGGAATCTTGGGGAAGCTCTTAGCTGGAAGCAGTCACATTCTAAGAGTACTTCATATGAATGTATTAAAATAAATCCTTCAGTCTTCGTTCTTTCTGCGATCACTTTCGGTTTCGTCCGTGATGGCAGTGCTGCGTATGCGTAGTCCACGGTCTGATCTGTTGTGCAATGGACAGGTCTTGGCCGAGTTGTCCCCCTATGTCACTTTGGCCGAGAGACTCGGAAGACTAGCTGTTCAGCTTGTCTCTGGAGGTGCTGGTGTGAAGGACGTGAAGGTGACCTACACATCTTCCCGCGCTGATGACGACCTTGACACCAGACTTCTCCGGGCTATGATCACGAAGGGTTTGATCGAGCCCGTATCCAGTGCCTTCATCAACCTTGTCAACGCCGATTTCATCGCCAAGCAAAGGGGCCTGCGGATCAGTGAGGAGAGGCGACCATCAGATGGTGCAGTAGAGGTTCCTTTGGAAAGCATCGAAGTGAGAATCTCCAAAGTAGATTCAAGGTTCAACACGGCAATGTCTTCTGGAGACATCACCCTCGTAGGTACCGTGAAGGGTGGAGTACCTCACCTTTCCAAAGTGGGAGGCTTCAGCGTCGATGTTAGTCTAGAGGGAAGTATTATTCTCTGCAGACAAGTCGATCAACCAGGGATGATCGGTAAGGTTGGTAACTTTTTGGGAGAGCAAAACGTGAACATCAGTTTCATGAGCGTGGGGCGAGATTCTCCTCGCAAGCAGGCTGTCATGGCCATCGGAGTAGATGATGTGCCCAGCAAGGAAGTCCTCACTAAGATCGGGCAAATCAGTGCTATCGAAGAGTTTGTCTTCCTTAAGTTGTAAGTGACTGTCGTTGGCCATATGTATATTTGTCCAGCGAATGCAGGCAGGCTAGATAATGACGTCTAAATAGACGGGAATTGTATTTCAAACATATGAAGATGGCTGGAACTATGGCCCGGGGATGCTTGACACAACCACATCAGGATAGAGTGCAGAGGTTTTCCACTCCTCGTCTGGCACTAGATAGAGGTGTCCTACCCTTACAATTTTGTTCGATCCGAGAGATGGTGTACTCTCTCGCCAGTGTCCCACATTGGGACTAATACTAATAAACTTCTACAACACATGTTTTTTCAGTTCACTCAAAAATGTCTAGTGTTCTGAATGTTCAAGTTAGACGTTACGTTTTCGTTCTGACGTCTATTGAAATCGTGGTACTTGTGCTACAATCGATGATCATTTTCACCTTTGAAGCTTTGTGTTACATGAACCATACCAACGACTAAACGAAGAAGGTCCGATCAGTTGTATTACAGTGGTCCATCTAGCTCCGTCGGTACGTTTAAAATGACTGAGCTGTAGATTCGTAAACCTTTCCTTGAGTATATTGTTGATGGTTGAACTTTAACTTACTCTACTATGCTTGATTTGGAAATCAGAAAATTTTGTCACGTTCAGCACTTTCTGCAGCTTTTACTAATTGGAGAATGCTGTGCACTGTCAATATTTCAGATCTTGTCGGGTGTTCTGGGAGATCTTTCTCACTCTCAATAACGTAATCAATGTTTCTGCAAATTCTTGCTGACTCACGAGGAAAACATAAGAGTGTAGTTCCCAGTCAGCATGAGATTCACATAAACATTAAACAGTCGCGCCCAACAGCGACCAAGGGAACCGCGTCTAATGGTGGAAATGAGGAAATGACAGAACTCACTTGTAATAGATTGACCAGTTTTGTCCGTTTGTTTTGACTGTAGTAAGCTTGTCACCAAAATGACAGGACAGCTTAATTTATAACGACATGAACTGGCGACGTGTCATCTCCTTTGCCCACCTTTCTGTGTAGCAGGCTTCCAAGTGAGGGATGTCCACCGTTGGAAAGCGACAGTGGCGGCAGTGTCTGACCTTTTCGCCAAAAATCACCACTGCAGTCTACTGCCCACTATCGAATCAAGGGCCGACAGTTGACGTTCAGTCATCTTAGCAGAAAGTATGAAATATCGCAAATGTCTGAAGTTTCATAAACGAGCTGAGAAAAAAGATTGTTCAAAAATTATTTCCCTAAGCAATGAAATTATCTACCTCGATGCTGAAAGTTAAGATTTCCGGCATTTTGTTACCACAGATACAGTCGGGAATTTATCGATACATCTGATACCAACATGATGGTACCTCCACCGCGAAGTAACTCTTATCGTGGCGGTTGTAAATGTGTAATTACCACGATCACAAGGGTCGACAGAGAACTAACTACAAAAGACGAAGGGGGCCAAGTGGATAGCAACCGACAAGCAATCACAAAACAGCGTTCTAAAATTTATCAAGTCTTGACTGAAACATGAATACAGCGAGCATTTTTTTAATTCAATATGTAGAGGTTCTTCTTCTTTTTCAGAAGCTTAGCAAGTTTTCATTTCCAAACATGTGGTATAATGCACCAAGTAGCCTCCAGACATATGCAGAACCAAGAGAAATTAAAACAATGACAATGACTTAATTTGACTTTATTTTTTTTCTCTTCACAACTTGCTCAGATAAGTATGCCACGAGTATGCGAGATCTCAATTTTCGTGAGACTAAGGGAGCGAAAGTTTGCTTTAAACTCTCTGCAAAACTTACATCTCTACATGTACACTAGACATATGCATGGTCACTGAAAGAGATCAACTTACTGCAGCAAAGCAGCAATTGAACTAGTCCACACACGCACTCTATACATGTCTCCTAAGTTCTTTCTTCTTATAAGAAGTACAAACCCAGATTCATGGTAGTTGTTCATATTCACTTCTGGAAGACAATGAAGGGAAAAGAAGAAAAAGCCAGAAAAGAGAGTAGTTACTAGTTGGGCACTTCCTGAAACTTCTTTCTTACATACATAAACGAGAGGGGTAACAAATAGATAAAAGTAGATACAGTAACGACAAGAATTAGCAAACATATGTGAAACAAAGAACAGCAATGACACCATCACAGTTTGTTGTCTTTATATATACATAGTGCGTATAGATACGATGAAGTGTAAGATACAGCAAGAAACGTAGGAGAAATAAAGAACTGTCGTGAACAAGTTCTTGATTCGTGATGATAACACCAATATCTTACTCTAGTAAAATTCCCAACTGTCTGTTTGCAAGCATACATTCAAAACAAAAGAACCATTTACGTTTGAAAGTGGAGGACTTGAAATATCTAAAGAATTCTTAAAAAAATCTTACATTGTAAGATCAAGCTTTTGTTCAAAAACAGCTTACTTTTTGAGAAAAAATGCTACAGTTCGTAGAATTCAATGTATATTTTTCTCATGGAATCAAATATTCAGATGTAAACCCAAGATATTTTCTGTAATAGTATATTTTCAGTACTGCAATGTCAAGGTCGATATAGAAACATAGATCTTTTATAAACTTCGATATGATTAGCGGGATTTTAAATACCATGATCCAAAGTTCATCTAATGATAAAAAAAAGTATTACTATAAATGATTCAAATGAATTACAGTGGAAATCTTTATTAGAAATTGCTCTCGTGAATATATTTTGATCTATTACTGTTAATAGATTCAATTTATTTAAAAAATGAACGGAATCATACATAGATACATTGGACATTGTTTTATGACATATCAATCTGTCAGTGCATACTGTAGAAAATAAGTTGATTAGATTAAACATGTATAACATATGGATTAGACTTCATAATTCTAGTTAGAAATTTATAAGTCATATCAGAAATTTGACATAGATAATCCTAAATAGATTTAACATTTGAATATTTTTGGACTGAAATTTTGAAAGGTGTAAAAAAAAAATTGGTTTATTTCAAAATTATACCATGTGTTTTTATCACTTCAATAGCAAAATTGATATGAAGTTATTATAACTTTGAAAAAAAATGATAACATTATCAGTATATAGTGTGTGTCAGTAATTGTTACTTGTTTGGAAAAACGTAAAGCTCATGTATATAAATTGGTTCATGAAATGAAACCCATTTTTAAAACTTTGATTTGAAAAATTACAGATAATACTATAAATTAAATCTGAATTCTTTTTTAACTTTTAATTTTCATTCACACAAAAAATTTAACTTAACAGTTTTCAAATATGAAACTTTGATTAATTTTTTAAAAATCGATCTAAAACTTTCAAAATCTTATAAGAAACAGCTTGAAAATCATTTAAATATCAAGTGAATAAGTTTGATTTCAATATAATATTAGAATCTAATCTTCTAATATACCTTATGCTTATGAATTTTATAAAATTATATATATATAGTGATTAATCAAATTGATGTGTTCATATTTAAATGTTATAACGTTTATCCATACATTTTGCATGAAGCATTTAGACTGAAGCAATAGATTCTCACACTTACTCTAAAACCTGTCTTTGAGTACAAAGTATCAATACTTAATCTAGAATCATAAACAGTAAAACATGAAAAATCAAGTGACAAATACATTAAAACACCAATGTAACGTGATTCACCACAAAGTGCTCCGTCCACGATGGGAAAGCTCACATGGTTGAGAATGTAAAAAGTGTTCTACTAATACACAAACCCTGGGTTAAATATTCCAGCATCGGCAACCCTCCTAGATATAAATAGTTAAAACCTGGAGTTGACATCAACAAAAAGATCATGATGCATGATGTATTCTCATCTGATACTTCATTTTTTTTGTATAATTTATGAACATTGATGTCTACTTTCTAATGAAAATTATTTTTGAATGTTTTCAAGTTAAAATCAAATTTCAGATTTTTTAACAAAAAATTATCATGATTATAAATTTTCTAATCTCTTGACCTAAATTCAATTGATTTTTATTGGTATTATAAGCTCTTGAAAATTTTTTACTTCATCTGAAGAAAACATATTGATTTTAATTTTTAAATATCAAAAAAACTATGTAGCACATCACATTATTGTTTTCAATCTTAATCTAAAGATATTTTCTTATGTTTTCAACAATATTGACATGCGCTTGTTCAATATTATAATCAGTGTTATTCTACACTATGGTTGTTATTCTACATATTAAGTTGAATTTAATAATGAATTGTCATATGTAATATAATTTATATTATATTATATTATATGGCTTGAAATAAATCATCTAGATCAACATTTCAAGAACTTTGAGAGTTGATAAGCTTCATAACACATGCAAATAAATATATAATTTGGTGTTGGTTTTTTCTTAAATTTTATCAAAATCAAAGGAGTATGTATTTGTGAATGATAACATTATGTTTCGATAAGAAAACAGTTACAATTAAAATATTGAAAATCAGATCTTTGAAAAAATATTTGATATTCTAGAAATCTTAATTTCAAATTCTTACTTGATTTGTCCGTAAGTATCACAAAAAGACCACATATCATATGTCATATAGTAAACACATTTAATAATCGACTTGATCATTTTATTTCTAGTGTGTGTTCTATTCAATATATTATAATTTATTTCTCCTATTCAGGAATTTTTGGATAAATATATTTCAGAAGATATTTAGATTTCATTATGAAATAAAATCTAATTTTGAAAAAAATACAAGGTTAGAACTTGATGAAGTGCCTCGGATGTTTACTTCATTACAGTGCTAATCGTCGAAATCAGAATAATTCTTTAAAATATTTAGATTACGCAAAACATACAACATAGTTAAGATCTTTATATTTTTTCAAAGTAACGTTGACGTTTTATTCTTTAAACACAACAAAGAGGGAAATTCTTTTCTTCCAAAAGACTCTTGATTCAGACCTTCCGTAGATAAAGGTAACTGACCTCTCGGAGACTTCAGCTTGAGACCTTTAAGCTATTATTCGTGGTCATCAAGTTTGCCTTTAGTTGCATACTTTGACTTTGTTTCCTTTTTTAAAGAATCATCTCAAGAAGCCCTGGAAAGAGATCGAATTGTTAAATTCATGGCCAAAGTGTTATTAAAACCACATATGCACTTTTAGCATCCAGTAACTCTACTACTGGATCGAAATCTGCTTTCAAAGTCTTCACCTATTGTTTGACCTTGTGTGGAGTACTAGAGTCTTTCAGCAACCTCCATAAGTGGGGAGTCCAAATTCCATCAAGAATTTGGACTCCCCACTTCATTCTCACGCATTGTCCGAAGGATAATAAGCCAACGGAGTCCGCCGTGATTCTCTTGAGCGTTCGGCGCTTCCAAGTCCCAACAACGGGCATTCTCGAAAGGATATTTTCAAAAATTATGAACTCTGCTGTTCGAAATGAATGCACGTAACAGACATCGGGCAGGCTCATGCCTCGTATCTGACAGCTGCAAGAAAGAGCGCGAAAGGGAGCGGGACGTTCAACGCTGAATACGTACCGCGGAAGGAAGTACATACCAAGTACCGGATCATGGGATACTGAACATTCAATGAAAGCTGCATGTCAATGAATGTGTTCGAAGGGATTTTGAACTGCGTGCAGGATGAAGGCCTCTCGAAAGAGTGTTAATACGAGATTTGCAAATTCTGTACAGTACCGTATCTGTGCAACTCGCTCGGAGAGAATCAAGCATGCCCTTCGAGCGTTTGGAGTAGTAAGAATCGGCGGACGGGAACTCCGGATTGTGCTCGGAAGAAAGTATTCTACTCATTAAGAAGGACGTGAGGATCTGGTACTGCGATACGGCGAACGGCGGTTGCATTAGCGAGTCCAAGCGTCTCCGAAACGTTGTTTGATTAGCTGGTGTTATAATGAGAGCGGAGTGGGCCGTGAAGCGGAGGAGAGAGAGAGAGAGAGAGAGAGAGAGAAAATGAGGGAGTGTATAGTATCGATCGGATCGAAGGTTGCAAGAGAGAGAGAGAGGAACAAGTCATGGCAACTATGAGTCCAAGGACGAGGAGGAGAAAAAACTACAAGCTTCTGCTGACCGGATCGATGCTCGTAAATGAGCCTCTGACAAGGGGGGGGGAGCCTGGACTGAAGCGTTTCCGCACAAGTGGCAGGAACGACATCGATGCTCCACAAATAGTGGAGCTGCATGGACTCCACAGATAGACAGACGGCTACAGACGATGTCGCCGCTCGTGGACAAGGGGTGCGTGAGGAATATCCTCCTGCGGTAGGTTGTGCCTCAGAAGACTATTCTCTTGACAGGTTCTATTCGACGGAGCACGTGGAGTACAATCGGCACTGGGCCACTTGCTGGCAGGCCCAGGGCCACAGATTCTCAAGTTGCAAGCGAGCCAGGTTGGTGAAGAGTAATCATCCGCTGCACGTAAGAGTTGGTACCGTGGCACCGGGGTTTCAACAGTGGAATGTTTACTAGTCCGGTGTGAGCGAGATCCATGTTTTGGAGTGAGTGTGGGGAAACGATTCTGACTGCAAGTGAGCTGAGCTGTGATACGTGAATCGTGTGGGCAAACTCTCGTACGCTGTCGACTCGCAGTTCTGACTCCACGTTGAAGACCAATTCCATTTTATTCAAACAGTTGTGTGAACGCTGCATTCAAATCATTCAACGGTATGTGCAACTAAAGATTCTGACTTGAAAACTCCACTCGTCTCTTGCGTGACTACGGTCAGACAGTGATTCAGAAAGCTGTAAGGAGGTGGCGCAAATCCGTTAAATTCCGCACAGAGTTGAATACCATTCTCTGGTCGCTCGCTCGCTTGCGCAGGCAGAGTCCCAGGAGGAAAACATATCCCAATCGAGTACGACATCAAGCGAGATCTCCACTCCTGCGAGCTTCGCTCGCATGACAAGCGAACTCGTGACGAAACTTCTGTTAGTACATGAGAAATCGACATCGTCGACGTACTAACCAGTGAGTCGTACCATCTCATCAGTGATGCACTACACGATCATCTGACGCATGTGAGCGTCCAGCGATCGGACCTTTCTATTGAACGATTTGCCGCCCACGTGACGTATATCGCTGGCTGTTTTCTGTGGTATGTCCTGTGGGTACGAGGCAGGGGCAGAGATCGATCGCACAATCTCCTTCAGTGATTACAAACTGTTCATTTCGCACAACAAAAATTCAGCCCGATGAAGTGGAAGGCATTGAAGATACTGTACACAACATTTCGGATATACGTGAGATGCACCAGCAAGGAAGTATGAGTTGGGCTATAATAAGGATTACATTCAGCAATAGTCGGGATAGATGTCAGGAGCATTTAAGTAAAAGTGCAACCGGGTAGCGGCTCACAATCAATAAGTAAAACTGTACTAGATTGTCGCACCGGCAAAGATCTGTTGAGAAGTACAACGGAAGGCATCCAGAGTCCAGACTAGACGACAAGAAATACACCACTGACTCTGGCACGGAGAGTGAGAGACATTGACGATGAATTAACGCCAAAAGCGATTGCAACATTGTTCATGTACTACACCCGTCCAGCCAGAGAAGGACTGATAATGTACATTGTGTTTGACAAGGTGAAAGCGATCAGATTGTACGTACTGTATCCACGACAAATTTTCACTACAGTATGCATTTTGTACAGACAACAGTCAACAGTGCTACCAAAAACAACTGGGCATGCAGAAGGGACAGAATTAGACAGGAACGGCAGAGTGTCGTCTGTGCAAATACTTGACAAACTCGTTTGGTGTGCACGACAGCGGGAGGCACTGTTTCAGTCGATGCTGTTCGCTTGAACAAACACTGACATTTGAAGCTAAATCGAATCTGGTTACGGAGGGCAGAACTGAGCGAACGATTGGTTGCTACAAGTATTGCAGCCTCCTTCCAAATCTGGACTGCTGACTGGCTGACAAAACGATACCTACATACTGTCAACCCCCACAAACTGTCCTGTCGACGGTGGACTCAACGGGAAGATCCAGGCCGACCTTCAAAGAAAATCAGCGTTCAGACCGATGAGAACGAGAACTCGGACGACATTGAAAAAGTTTATTACTTCCGCGCAATCACAGGCCGACCTCATACAAAATCAGCGTTTCGCCGATGAGTACGAGAACTAGGACTCTACTGAAAAAGTTCTTACTGCCGCGCAATCACAAATCAGGAGTTGATCTGACATGGGCAATAGAAGAAGACGGAGTATTCTTTACGTTGAGCCGATTGATAACTGATTGAACGTCCGAAGGTGAAAAAAACCAGACTTACAGGATAACAGACACGAGACGTAATCGAGGTTGCTAAGAATAACAGTTCAATCGACGTAAGGCATTAAGGCAAATCTGCAAGCAAAAATTTCAAGAAGAAGGAGCAAGTGGATTGTGATCCGGAGCCTCGTTTGATTCCAACTGTCCACGTGATTCAACCGGCAGTAGGTAGAGCAAATCAGCCTCGGTTGTTGGAAGGAGAATAAACAAGACATGTCCATCGGCGGATTCACGGGGATAAAACATAGTAGGTCAATCCGATTAGAATTTTTCACTAAATTTACGAATTCTCATCATGAGGCTTGCCTATGGTCTCAAATCCTGTATAATTTAACAAGCACAAAACAGTGAAGGACAGGCATGAGAACACGACGAACAGAACCAGTCAGGCAGTTAAAGCATGCGGCAATGACTAACTCCTGTTTAGGACGACGAGAATGCGTGCAAATATCATGCTATGTGACGAAGGATGGTCGTACATTCGGTACTCTGCTGAAGAAACGAAGTCTGAGAAAGATTAGGCAAGTTTCGGAATTATCACCTGCCGGGAGAGAAGGGCGAGAACAACAAGCATCAAGGAAGTCAAAGAGAACACCCAACCAGCTGTAGGACGCCAAGAAGTGTGGCTCGTCTTTATTTGTCAACGAGTGCAGCAGAAGAACATTCTTCTCCTTCCACAAATTGACTCTTCACCGTCTATCCTTTCATCATCACGAATCTTTTATGGAACACTGATAAGGCGAGACAAGAATGGTGGGAACAAGACAGAGAAAGTCATAAATGGTTGTTACAAAAACAGTCAGGGCAATTGCTCTCTTTTCTAGACCTTTTCGTCTTGCCCCTTCCTTTTTTTCTTGGGCTTTTCCGTCACCTATGCACAAACTGACTTAATGTTACAAAACGTCCTCGTAAATGCTTGGCATCCTCCTGTTTTCCTTTCCTTGAAAAAAATGAATGGCTAAGTTCCTACGAGATGTAAATATACACAGAGAGTTCACTAAAATGTACAAGGGGTTCGACTTCTATTCCAACTCCGACTGAACCTCGTTCACCATATACCAATAATCTCCAAAGCTGCCATCGCAGTCAGTGTCGTGCTCGCTGTCAGTGTCGTGCTCGTTGTCAGTCGAGTGGACGTTGCCCGTAAACATAGAGAAATCAATACTTGCCCAGCTTTCACCGCTGTCAGATGCGCTATCGCTTGTGCTTTCGTCGACATCTTCCGAGACGTTGTTAGGCACTGTTAGGCGGCTCTTTGGAGCGCGCAATAAGCTCTCGATAGGCACCACGATCTCTGAGGTCCAAGAATTGGGCTCCTCGTCCTGATCATTGACATCATCGTCTTGTTGAGACTCGTCTTCACACTCACTATCACTCGGCTGGTAATCAAGATCCGGATTCTGATCCCAGGCGCAAAACGTCCTCTCAACCTTAAGAATTGGTTTCTTCGACGACGAGGACGACGGCGGCGATGAGTCACAGACGCGCCACTCCTGCATCTTGTAATTGCTGGTGATGTTGTACGCTTTCGCTTTGACAAATCCCTTGGTTTTGTTCAACGACTTGTCCACTGGCAAAGCGAAAGCGCAGCATTTGCAACGCACTCTCCCGTTGCCGCATTTTCCTGTACACTTGCTATGACTCGTCGGCTTGTTCGCAGGCTTTACAGGGGGCCACGCTGCATGCTTGCTCTCTCTCACATACGATCCGTGAATTCGTCCTTCTCGCCTCATGCTGGAGGGGTGAAGCCGAAGGCGCTTGTTCTCGGGCCCCGTCCTCTCGCCGAACCCCCTCAACAATGCGATTTTACAAGTGCAATTGGCCCCTCGATGTGGTGACGACGACGTCGACGTAGAAACTCGATCAAGATCAAACAGAGAAGGAAGAGGCCAAAGTCGGAAGCAAGCAAGGATGGAAGGATGGAAGGATGGAAGGAAGAAAAAAAGAAAGACAGGACACCGGACTGAAGACTCGCACAAGGTCCTGAAACACCACAATTCGTGCACGGCGGGACAGATCTAGAGAGGAATTGCAGGCCACACAAGACGAGACGGCAGAGAATTGGCGCACTTGTACGACGCGAGCCAGAAGCGTAGCGAGAGCGCAACTATAGAAAGCGAGCCGGAGGAAGAAGAAGAAGGAGTGCCGAGCGAAACCCGCCCCGCTGCACGCGGAAACTTGCAATACAGGACTTTATGTACAATGGACGCCAGAAGCGTAGCGAGCAAGAAAGATGGGCGAGCCTTTTGGCCCCGCTTCCTCCCCGCTTCAGTTGCAGACTCGATCGCATCAATCATATCGCCCAAAACGACGCACTGCCGAAGCTCGGCCCGCCCCTCGGCCTTGCGTCAAATCCGAATCGAACTGCAATGCCAACAGACGGTCCGCGGCAAATGCGAATCGCGATTCGCACTTCTCCGCCCGAGAAACGGCCTACGTCGTCCACGCGGCTCCGGTGCCAGGCCTGGCCTCCAATGGCGTGCGGCCTCGTGTTTATTCAGCAACGGGCTGTGCCTGCCAATTCGCCTGCCGTCGGAGACCTCGCACGAGCCTACGTGGTGAGCACCGGGACCACGGCAGCTCATCCCACGTGGTTGACGTGGTCAAACAGACTCTTTCTCTCGGATATCTCTCCGCTATCGGGAGATGGCGCGGGTAAGTTTATCGGGCCGCCTCCTTGAAGTGAACAAAATTATTTTCAAATAATTCCATGCACGATCAATAATTTTATCTTATGTTAAGAAATCTACATTATTATCTATATTTCTATATTCTTCTAAAAACTTGTTCAAAAAATAAATTAGCGTGCATTTTAAATAATTAATTAATATTTCTATATCTATACTTGTAATTTATTTATCTAATTTGATTTTTTTTAATTCATTTATTTCTTGATTTAAATTAAAATAATTAATAAATTAATTTTTTATTTATCATGCTCGTGAAATTATCAAAAATTATAGTAACTTGAATTTTCTTCAAAAAACCTTTTTGATTTTAAAAAAACATATGCTTCTAAAAATAAATCTCTGAGTTTGTTTATTTTTTCCCTTGGGATAATTTACTCTTGACTTTAAAAAATGTAGGGAACTAACCATGTCTAGAAACAGGGACAACGTTCTTTGGCTGACATAATTACCAGTATTTGATATCGAATATCACTGCTATTTCTGTATCTATTGCAGGCTGGTTATTACCAAACTGCAAAAACTAAACTCAAAACGGCGCAATCATAAGCTCACGACGGCGGTGATGAGTCACGGACGCGCCACTCCTCCATCTTGTAATTGCTGGTGACGTAGGCTTTCGGTGTGACAAATCCCTTGGTTTTGTTCAACGATTTGTTTGCATTGTTTGGGTTATGATGTGTTCCCAAGTCTTCGACCAAATGAAAATATCACATAAAATGTGTCACTAATAACAAACACCGTTTTAATTATAGAACAGATTGATGAATATACAAAATCCTTTTAGAAGGCATACATGACCATAGATAGAACTTATTCAATGTGTTATCTTAAGATGGTTAGCCGTTCACGGATTACCTGTACCTACAGGTGTCTCGTAAGGTGCAATATCAACAATGCAGTTTCTTTAAAATTAACTTATAAAAAAACTAGAATTTTGACCCAACCAAATCCAAACAAGGTGTAGAATTAATCAGTTCTAGCCCCATTGGGTGTTATTACTGGTTTTTAATTTTCTGTTGTTTTTTACAATTATCACTTGATATAAAAATATTAATTACCTTATTTGGGGAAAAAATCTGTTCAGACAGTTTTATGTTTAGAGTTACAAATTTTAAATAAATTTCTGAAAAAAATATGTTCAAACATTTTTATGTTTAGACTTAAAAATTTTAAATATAATTCTGAAAAAATTCAAAGTCAATAACCGGGATGGTTCCTTTGAAGCCGATCTGTATCCTTGTCATCGATTTAGTAAGAATGTCCATAAGGAATATTAAAATGTACAAATTAACCAAAATAGATGTAATTCAAACTAATTTTCAATCATAAATATTCTTAAGGTGAAGAGTCGTTGTACTCCTTGGGCCACACCCAACTGTCACAGGGACGGCCCTCGGACCTTCTAACGTGGCCAACTTCGCCTTGAGTTTCGGACAATGTTCTGTCTTGTTCCTCCCTGTAAGTTAGGAGCTTTAACTCACGACAAGCCACCGGCGTTGCTTGGGCCTTCCTCCTGTGCACTGTAGTAGGGAAGCGTAGTCCCCTGGATTTTGGAAGTTAAGCTGAGACAATAGGACGACCCACTCCCCGTCCAAATTGAGTACGGTGCAAGTTTATCCAAACTTTCCGATAGAAGACGCGACGCTGTTGTTTATTACGGCACTCATTGCATTCTCCCATTTCCGGTAAACAAACCGGAAACCCACACTCCATTGAGCTTCATGTTCTCCCAAAGTCCAATGACGCGAAAATGTTTATATCCAGCGAAATTTATGGCTTTTGGCCCCTTTAGCTCGCAATCAGACCCCGAGGACTACTGTACTATATCACTACACTGATCCATGTGCCCCTACGTCAATTCAACGCAGACTATTCCACCGGTTTACATTCGTTCCCATCCATGACCTTCAGAGCATTGTGTGGTGGTCCAATTTCTGCGTCTAGGCCGAATACTTTTCCAGCGTTAAAGCACAGGCGGGCATGATTACATGATAGGACAGTTACAACTTCCTTCCATGTATGTGGTGGAGAAGCTTGACCTTCCACGACTAGCATGTGGTCATGACTTGAACGGAGGAGACCGGTCGTGAGAATAGGTTCTTTGGGAAATTTATCTCCTTCTGAGAGCCTAAGCAATATATAGGAAATGGATGGGAAGACCCCATCGATTTTGGTTGTAGACTTCAAACCTCGTTCAATCATAGTTCGCTGGAGCCCCGATATATTATGTTTCGAACAAAAATAGTAAGATTAAAATGGTAAACTCTGTAAAGATAAGATTAAAAAACAACGTGTCATACAGTGGCTTACATTTCCAAACTATCTAGATTGAAAGCTCTACATTACACGTAACATATTTTATAGCAAAGATGAACATTGACTACAAGATGCTAAATATTTTGGAATCTTCTTTATAGATGTTCCAAGTATCATGAGCAATTTTTTTGGACATGAGATTGATATCAGAAATTAGAGAGAAATATAATATGCCTTATTTCTTTAAAAAATTTCCTCATCACGGACTTGTATCTCACTAATTATAATCTCAAAAGGTATTTCTGAAACAAAATTTTCATCTTCTGAAACATTCTCATACAATGTTTGATGTCATTAATACTAGTTTAACTCCAAATTCTCAACATCTTCTGTATCAAATTCTAATATCAAATAGATATGTTTGTTACAATTCTTCTTAATGACATGTTTAGATGAAATACTATTCGTTTATAAAACTACTAATCCAAAGTATTGATTGTAAAATGTAGGAAAAATTGAGACACATTTTTTTAAATGCAAAGATGGAAGATTTGATTTTGATTCATTTTAGCATTTATCTAGAATTTTAGACTCGTCATCTAAATTTGATATGTCTTTCTGGTTTTATTACATAATCAATTCTAGTTAGCTAGTGCCAAAGTAGAGCTGAATCAAAATGAAGACAACTTTAGGTGAACCATCTTTAATTTTTATGTTGATAATAATCTTTGTGCTTGTTAGATGAAGATTTAAATGTAATAATTGAAAGCAATATGTCAGCAACTTGTGTGTTTGTTAAGTGTAATAATATGTTTTTCATCCTCAAGAAATAAATTATATCAGTATGTGACATCTTAAATCTATTGCAAATATTGTATATTGTAAAGTGATATATCATTCTCATGTTAGCATTTGTGTACCGGTTTTTTCAGACTTTTTTTTCTATACTGTTACATGTATTAATAAATTGTATTGGTAAAACTTGAGATCACACTTAACAAGCCAACAATACAAGAAATACACGTATAACGTGGTTCACACTCAAGAGAAAATATTCCACGTAAGAATACTTTCTAGAAAGTTTACCGGTTCAAGTGAAAGCATGTTCATACCCGCAAAAGCACAAGAATATATATATATATATATATATATATATATAATCCAACGTATGCGACCAAATTGAGCTATAAAATAGCTACACTCAAAGTTACTCCTTAACCTAAGTTAACCTCAACATAAATTTTATAAATAAATTTATAATATAATATATTTATTTGATCAATTAAATATAATACTAATAAATTTTTAATCATATCTGATCAATGTTTATTATCTCATTTTGAATCAAATAAGCTCAAATTAAAGAAGAAAATTTCTAAAAAAACACAATGTCATTTCAAAATCAAAATCAAAGCTAAAAAATCAAATTATTTTATCATGATTTTTTACAAAAGTATTTTAATTTCAATTTTAATATATTTAATTGAAAATTTATTTGATATGATAAATTATGAGTTATTTTAGTGATATTTATATATATTTGAAATTTATGAAGGTTTAAAATAATTTTTGCTTACAAATAATAATGCGTATCAAAAAATGAAATATTTGTGTATACATATACACAAATGTTTTGACTTACATGCATTAAAGTCAATTATCATTCTATGTATTTGATAGATATCTTGAAATTAAATTTGAAAGCAACAAAAAATTGCGTATTTAATTGATGAAAATAATTAAATTCAATGGTATGATGATTTGAAGTTGATTGAACTATGAAAAAAAATTCATGTGTGTTACAAAATAAATTTACATTTAATCATCATTAAATTAAAATAAAAAATTGATATACATTTTTTATAAATGTAATTTTTTGACAAGATTTGATTTTTTAATATATCTATATATATATATATATATTATATCTAATCAACAAATCTTGTTATACAATATTATTTTGATCAATGTTTAAAACACAATATACTAATTTGAAAAGTTTTAAGTTATCATGTGAATCACATAGCGACTAATTTGCACTCATTATAATTATAACATATGATTTATATTTTTTTAAGGAGAAAATGTTTTTACTCTTTTTTTTAAACCGATCATCTAGGGTATGAACAATCATAGAATTTAAATACTGTAGTGAATCTAACCTCAATGTATGTGATAAATAGATCAAGCCCGTGGAACCCAAAGTCAAAACTCTAAAAAGAACACAATAGAAACAATACTAAACCAGGAGAGAACCAAAAGAACCCCTTACCAGTGATTGATCATTCTTATTCAAATACATATACTCAATATCATTAGTTAATTATAAAGCATACAACTTTTCTATTCTTCTCATGCTAAAAAAAAAAAACAACATACCTGATTGCATCATAGGGAACTACATTGTAGTGCTGGTAATCTAGGTGTGGATTGATCTAAAACTCATCGTCGTAGAATAAGAAGTAGGTGAGATACGATGTGCATAATGTGTACATACACAAAATTTTCTGAAGTAGTTCTTGCTGAAGAGCAAAGATAATAAAAGCAAAGTTTGCTTGAAATTATCTTAAAATTCAACTTTTATGTTCTGTACTATATGCAGCTTGAACTTCTACCTTCTTCATTTGACAGTCTAATACATGTATGTGGGTTGACCATCTTGGGTAATGTAGAGATCTGCATCTGAAGATCGACGAAGATTATACTAGGTAGATCCAAAAAACTCCAAAAAAAAAGGCAGATCTGGTGGGTCCAAAGTAGCCAAATCTATTGTGCCGACTGAGGAAAAGCTTTAAGTTTGAGATCGTGGGTCCCTTCACTTTCTCAGCTTCTTTTCCGACCCAATTCTCCGACCCACAAGCTCTCCCAGAATCGTGTGTACCGCAGCTGGACATATTGGGAGATGTGTGGCCAATGAAGTAGAAGATATTGGGGAAAAAGTATGATTTTTATGATTGAGCGAATATTCAGTCGTTTGTGCCGAACTGCTAAGATATCCATAACTTTGCGGGCCCATGTGCACTCGGTACAGTTGAAAAACAAAATAGTGGACAAGCAATTCTGCTGCGGAACTATGTATGAAATAATTATTATATTGGAACCTGATATTAGAACAATAGATGTGAGTTGATCTGGGACTTTGGGTCCAATTGGCAACTTATGGAGAAAGACTTAAATGGGAATGAAGACAGGCAGGTCTCTGGGCGAACTCTTCTTGTAATCACAAATCTGATTTCATACTCGGAAGTGCATATGAAATATGGTCTTAAAATATGGACCTGGTCCATACAGCAGATGGTAATGTAGTAAATTCAAACCTACTTTCTGAACTGTTTTCGTAACTAAATTACGGATGATATGACCACTTATGGTCTTCAAATCTGCCTGGTCCATATATCAGATGGTACTGGGGTAAATTCAAACATAATATCTGAATCCTTCTCGTACCTAAATTATGGATATATGAGACCAGTTAATGTTAATACATAATACATACACATATAATTTGATGTAAGTATTTTCCCCTAAATTACACAATAAGATATGAAAGAAACCATGTGTGTGACATCACTATCATTCATCTTTAAACTATCACATAAGATGACATTGGAAAGATCAATTATTTCGCCAGATAAAGTGAAATTTATTATGAAGAATATGTAATTCAAATTATATTCTGCTCA